CCATGGAAGAAAGACCCTCTTTCTCTCCATCTGGGCCACTTTCTGGAGAATTTTCTGGAGAAAATTCTGCTTTTCGACGAGCCTTCTCTGCTGAGCCTTCTCCTCTCAGCCTTCTGCTGAGACATTTACTTCAATGTTCCTATTATCATTCCTGCCTCTAATGATTCTTCCATGTTCCTACATCATATAGAGATCAGGATAGAAAATTTTAAATTATTAAATAAACAAAATCCAGGAAAAATATCTAGGGTGATTTTTAATATTAAAATTAAGAAATTAAAGAATTTTTTTTCTGATGCAGTTAAAAAATGAAGACATGACGTCACATGGCTATGTTTGAAAACATTAATTAGCTTCAGGGGGAAAGCACACAGGAATAATATGAATTTGGCCTCAACTTTCTTGGAAGACTTCCTGAATTTAATTTCAAACACTATATTATCCATTAGTATGTCTCATGTTAATATCCCCACCCTTCTCACCTAAAGCATTTTTATTGCATGCGTTTTTCATATAGCAATCAAGATGGACTTGGAAACACTGAAAAGGACTGCATGAGAGGAGAGGTCAAATGTACGACCCCCCCCCCCCCAAAAAAAAAAAAAAAAGAGGCAGGGGGAGGAGGGGTAATCCTCAATTTGTTTAGAGCAATCTTGGATACAACTATTCTACCAGCAAGAAAAATACAACTGTGATTTTTAGACAGAGGCCATCAACATATTCAAGCCTTTAACAATATTTTTGGCCTCAAGCAATTCTTAAACCAATCTCACTGATTCTGTGTTTAGAGAGAAGCTCAAACCAGTGTTCACCAGAACCTGTGCATTTACCAAAAGGTAACCAAAGGCACAATCTAGAAAGATTCCTCTTGGAACACCTCATGGATGACATGTTACTTCTCTAAATTATTTTTACCTTAAGGACTCAGCCCAACATCTATTTTACTGGTGCAAATATTGACAGAATCATGCAGCATAGCAGCATTTGTTTTACAGTACAGTGCATTTTCACTATGAACACAATGATCACTACCAAATACCTTAAGCTTTTTTTCTTTTTAATCAGCCATTGAAAGAACAAAACAATACCCTTTAAACCAGTTATTGAGCTACTTAGCAAGGAATATTTTTTCCCTGTGTTTACTGTCACCTTTACAGCAGTAACAGGGAGCTTCTTTTTCTTTTGGTTCATATATCCATGCAACCTGATTAAGAAGTAGAAAAGCACAGCCAAGTGCAAATTCCACAGTAGAAAAGGGTGCTAAATCAACCAAGATTAGGATATAACTACACTACAAACCTCTGTATAGCACAGACACATAACCAAACTAACTTTAAATAAGCTACCCAAGTACAGGAAGCTAAGCAGGCACCACAACACAGAATTCAAGGCATACTCACTGACTGTGTTTCTGAACTGCCTTTGGAAGGTAGCAGCTCATTTAAAGTTAGCTCTGCCAACTCTCTGACAGCTATTTCCAGCCTTAAGGCTGACACCCTTCTTCAGCCTCTCCTTCACCTTCTACTGCTAGTTTATACAGCCTGGCATTTGACACTGTAAATACACCTATCAGCAGGTACGCAAAAACCACCCCACTGTACAGTTACTAAGAACTCAAATTCATGTCCAGCTTCCACAAAATTACCCCTCTCCATCCACTCTGCTCATCATTTAGAGATAGTGATGAATTTCCAATTCTACAGGGAAAAAAAAGACATCTGGAAACGAGACTATGGGGACAGACTGGCTGTCTCTTTGCGTGTCTTTATACTCTGAATTGTAATAGACAAACATCTAGAAAACAGTGTCAAGCAGTACACTCTATTTAAAAATATTCTGAGCAGTTTTTTTTAATATAATTTTAAAGTGTCCTTTGGAATGTAAAACTGTCTCAGGCTTAATCTGTGATCATGTAGTTTTGCTTAATGAGAACTCATTTTTAACCAAACCACCTTGAAGATATGCAAAACAGAAGACAAAAAAAAGCTTAAGTATGGCATTTAGCTTAAGAAAAATATCAGGTTATCAGTGATACATATATTTAACACAATACAGTTTAACCGTACATTTTATCCATAAATACAAGTACGTTGAAGAATACACCTGTCAGCAGGTATGCAAAAACTGCCCCACCGTACAGTTACTGAGAACACCAATTCATATCCAGCTTCCACAAAACTGCCCCTCTCCATCCACTCTGCTCATCATTAATACATTTGATGATAAAACAGTTGCCTCTTTTTAGCATACTGACCACTATTCTTTTAGGTGCAGTACAAGCCCCCAGAGACAGCCTCAGGCCTGAAAAACTCAGTACAAAATTCCAAAACTAGCCTAAGCAGTATACATGACTAGTCAGTTTTTCAGAAGAGCTGAATACGCATTTTCAGATTCAAATCCAAAGGAAGCACCCACCAGCAGCATCTTGGTATCAGCAATGTTGGCTTTCTCCTTCATCTAAAGCCTGATCTCACCCAGAGTCTCCTGGGTCTCACATGACAAAGCCCTTCCTTTGAGGGGAAGGGACTGCATTTTGCAGCTCTAATTCAGATTTACAGAGCTATACAAGTGGTGTCTGAGAGTAGAAAAGGAACAACAGACCAGAGAAATTCAAACTGGACCACACTTCCAGTATATTGAACACTAGCTCAGAAAGCCTGCCCTATAGGAGTCTGAAATTTTACATACAGAAAGTTATGAGGGCTCAGCATTCATGCCTTGACAATAAGACACAGGTATTTATGGTGGTTTATAGGCAATTAAAAATGTCAGCTTCCTGGTGAAGGTAATCTGTCAAAAGATCTTCTAGAAGGCAGTATCTTCAGAATGCCATTTATACCAAACGAAACCCATATGTGTCGCAGTTGGATCCAAGCAGCAGGTTCTAGCCTATTTTAGGTACAGCAAAGAACAGTGAACCAAGAATGAAATATGGCACTTACGTCCTACGGTCTGACAGGAGAGAGGACAAAAAATAGTTTCATCCAGGTCCACTGCTCCCTGCTCCCCACCCCCAACAAACTGAAGATGAAAAGAATCAGCAAAGTGGGGGACAGGACAGTACCACTCTTCTCTTCAGGACCACAATTTTTTCACAAATTACTGTGGCCTCGAGTATCCAAAGCTGTCAAGGGCCCAGGTCTGAGTCTCAGTGAAAATGTGCTTCCCAGAAAGGAGTAAATCAGTATACAAACCCACTGAGAAAACACAGCAGCATTTCTTTCCTATCACTGGAATTTAACAAGTCATACCCCACCTCAAATGGAAAAAGCCCTGTCTCTGCGTACCCACCATTGCGAGAGAGATGCTGCTGCCTCTGTACAGTTCAGGGAAATCGTTTCCCTTCAAACACATAAAGCACATGTCCAACCACTGCTCATGTGCGGCAGCTTCACCACATCACGGTCCTCACTTTTAGACTCTATAACTAGATCACTTGATTGATATACCTGAGTCTCTTTGGGACTGACAACACACGGGCACACAAAGCAGGAAGGGACAACCGTGCTCCTTGAACAAGTTAGGACTACTATTCTGATAGCTCTGTGGCCTCCACCTCTCGAAGAAAAAAAATGCAGCCCAGGCCACTGACTTTATAATACGAGAATGTTTCCAGTATGTGGCTAGAAATAGGTATTTCTGAATTTGGCTGGAGAAATATCCCCACATCAGCATCCAGTCCACACCGCAGAAAACCTCAGACTACTCTGAGGACTACTCCAAGACACTTATACAGGTATAAATAGTATGAGAGAGGAAGTTTTCATGTTAGCCACACAAAATTATTAACAACAGATCAATTTACAGTTAGAAGGCTTATATAAAAGTGGTAACTGGAGATCTCAAAAATAGTTACTAATTTCCCTCTGTTCATCATTCTGCAGCTTGTAGAAGGCATACAAGAAATAGAAATTGTTTCTGTATTTAAACACAAACTGTTTATGTATACTACATATAATTTACACACAAGCAATGTGTATCTATAAAGACAGATCTCACAATAGCAAATTCATCTTAGTAAGAGGGACAAGCCGCTTGAGATGTGATGCTGGGCACCTGTGTTATTTATACATTCAGAAGATACAGCGAGATACAGTAATGCAGTCCAAGATAATGAACACCTGCAACACTGTAGTAAGTCTCTACAAAAGAGAAAGCAAGACAGTGAAAGAAGGTATCTGGCAGTGGCAGTGCCTGATTTACTAGCCTAAACGAAGACCTTATTAAAGGTTAACAGAAGACAGAATCCTTCAGCAGAACAGTCCCCCTCCTTACACCTTGGAGTGAAAGACAAAAAAAATAATAATAATGCTGGCGTTACACACACCACCTCAGAACTCCTCCACCGCTAAAAGCCATCTTTACCCCGTCTCCATTACCAGTTCAAAACCTCCCTGCTGGGCTAGAACTCAGCTGCCTTGGTCCCCTTGAAAAAGGAAAGAAAACCACCAAAGAGCAAACTTTGAAAAAGTTTCACAAATGCTAACCAGTCCAGTACTGTCAGTTGAATCTCGCTGGAAGTTCAGAGAAAATTTCCTGGCTTTTAAGACTCCTTTGCT